CAAGGCCACATCGCCGCGTCTGTTGTTAGGACCGGGTCCACATGGGGCCAAATTTGATTGGAAAGCCCAAAGGGAGGAGCTCCACCAGTCACAGGGGCATTGTTAGCGCCTCCAAAATGGCCAGAGAAGAATGACTGATTATACAACCACAGCTAGGGTTACTAATAGGAATTCTATTTGAATTTCTAACATAACAGATGTTTGCTGGGCACCTCTATGGAGTGCGCGTACACAGTTATGCTAATTCGCCAGTGTTTCCCTTCAAGTTAGCTTAGAGTCATTAGAGCACACGGCTAGCTTGGATCCCTCTGTCAAACTAATAATTTGCCATTATTGATATTAATTAACATTTTTGCTCTCAATGTCCTTTTTGACCCACTATCTGTTAGTAAATCCAGTTACCGAGTCCTATTAGGGCAATAAAATCCACAGGAATCCATTGTAGCTGTGAGTCATTTATCAGGAGGAAAACATAAAGCCAATTAGGAACGGGTGCAGACAGTTGACTTCATTCTGCACTGACTTCTTCTTGATCTCCATTATAAATTGCTAATAGAGCAGATTCTGGTGTAGGGAAGAGGTGGGGGAGCAGAAAACTGGAGCTGCTCACTCTCATCCATAAAACCAGGTGGATAGCTCTCCTCCATGATGAAGGTACACAACATAAAGCAACGGTTTCATCCGTCAGTCTTTTTGCTGAGGGTTGTCATGGTAAATCTCCCTCTCTATTGCCATGTTAATTGGCATAAATTAGGAATATAACCAAAAGATCCTCAAAAGTTGATCATTATTCCTTATATTGCTTTGTGATGGGAAAAAAAAAAAAGCAAACAACACATATAGCATTAATGGCTTAGATAAATAAGCCCTAATCGGTGTATGTGGAATGGTTTATTTTCCAGGAATCTCCACAGGGACTGAGTGAGAAAATACATCAAAAAAGGCTGGTTGAATCTTCCATATAAAATCAATAGCAAACCTTAGCTGGATTTAGTTTTCGCACTGCTCTCACATCATTTAGAAGACTACATGGTGCCTGGAAGAACTCACCAACAGTATTTGTCTGAAAGGGACACAACTCAGCAACAGCAAAATCTGTCACACTATCCATCTCCTTTTCTCTGAGATTTTTAAAAAAAATATATATAAGATCACAATAACAGAATTTAAACCTCTGATCAAAACTGTTAGTTTGTGTTCCTGCTTTCTGTATCCAGATTTTTCCGCATCCCAGCTTTAAGGCGATGTACACTGGGTGCTACGTAAATGAGTGGTATTTAATAGTCTGGATTGAAGTGTAAAGGCTTTCTCCCTTGAGTATTACTCCAAGAACCTAATTACAAGTTTCATCATCAATCATCAACATTATTTATTCAGCGAGATGAATTTCTAATTAATAACTGATGAGCATTATGGCCTCAAACACTGTAAAGCAATTAATTACATTTGGCAACAGGGGATATCCCTGTAAAGTCCTATCTGGTGCACAGTCACAGCAATAGGTGCCAACAGGCTAATGACCCCACCAAGATTGGACATTGGATAGTTGTCATTATTTACTGGGGAATCTCTTTAATACATATTTTAAAGTGACAAATAAGTTCAGAGAAACTGCATGCAGCTGTTATAAACTGTTAATTTTGATTCAGTTTAATGTAAAAATGTAGACCAGGTTACCTCACAAATAATCCAAAATCAAAAGAATTACACAATGCTGTTAATTAAGATTCCAAAATACCCGACTTAAATTTAAATGTAAGATTTGAAAACTTAAAAGGAGAACCCATTTGGTGCATCAGCACTGGCCACCTCTGATTGGGAACCAAATTTGGACCTAAGCAGGTGTTCCTGCGACTGACAATGCTGACAGGAAATATCTCAACCAACACCCGTTCAGGCAGAAGGACATTCTCAGGCCAGCTGCTGGTCTCTTTCCTGGATTAAACCACCATGTTTTTCATAGATTCCTAGATTACATCAAACAACTTCTTTCAGGAAAAGGTAGAATGATTGAATACAAAAGGTTTTCAAATTATGATTTAATTATTAACTTACAAAGCTATCGAAATCAATCTGATCCTATGTTAAAATGTTTTTGCCCCGTGTTAAACAATGAATCAACTGTTGTTACCCATATTTGTTTTGGGAAACTAACAAATTGTACCTTTGGATTTTACCCTTGGGCTTTGGAACTTTCGTAAACCAGATTAAGAGCTTCTAACCACAACAAGGCAAAACACGAAACTGCAGTGAATCTTCCCAAGAGTCATTAAGACAAATGTTTATCCACTGGTTTATGAACTTAAGACTAAGAGTTCTCGGATTAGCAGGACAATGATCTGAAGCATGCCAGTAATTCCACCTTTGACAGGCTTAAAACAAAGGAGATTAGGGAGTGATTTATTCAAAGAGCATACATGCGTATGATTGACAGGCTGTTTATACTTGAAAATCTGTCTGATGTTTGATAAAGTTTTTCAAAAGAGGAAAGCTGCATGAAACTAGCAAATGTCAACTGGTTGCTCATTTAGATAAAAACAAAAGATATTCCAGATAATCTCACTTTCAGAAGCTAAATATTTCATGATAAACTCAGTTAGTTTTGTATGAAGTGCATAAAGATTTTTCAACATAATGTCATCAACAGCTCTACAAATATTACCATTTTGATCAATTCATAGTATCAATGTCTTATTAGTTCCCTTTCTCACTATTGTGCCTCTGCTTTAAGTTTCATTAGTGTAAGAATATAAGTAGTAAACAAGGCTCAAGAATCACATTAAAGTATTTGACACTGAGGCATACACAATCAACAGGTTAGACAGATTGCTACACGTTTTTTGACATGTTTAAAATTCACACCATGGGAGATTCCCAGCTTGAGACACCACCACATACCACAAAGAAACTAATGTACACGTTTCTCAAATGTTACCTCCATAACCTTCAGCCCTAACTTAATCTCTCATGTTACACTATGCAGATACTCCGTTTGCACTGATGATCTATTCACCTCAGCATGCTGAATGGTCAAATCAGCTCAATCTGTTGCACTCTGACCTACTTTATTGATTCATCTAATGATTATTGCATAATTAATTGATGTATAAATACCTTTTTATGGGCAGTTATACACTAGACGTGTAAGTGTGCAAAAAAAAAAAAAAAACATGACAGCAGCCTGACTTTCTTTTCTTTAAAAAATATTATAAAAATGGTCATGTTTGTTATTTTATTCAATTTGGAATTAAAATAACTAATTGTGAGTAACAATTTTGTGTTTACTCGCAAACTAAGCAGATATTCAAAGTTTAAGTACTTTATATCGGTAATATTAATTGCATACTGTAGATACAGAACACAGATGGATTCAACCATCTTCTGCACCCATTTCATCCTCACTGGGTCTCACAGAGATTGGTGCATTTCTCCAGTGGACAATGAGGGAGAGGTGTGGGGTGCGCCATTACAGGTCACCATCCATCACATGGGAAAAAACAGAGATACAAAACAGCCAAGCACAGTTTAGAATGGCCAATCAAACTAACATATATTTGTTCAACTAAGTTAACGTATCCAGCATTTAGAATTAAATGCAATATTTCTCCCTAAAATTTTAAGTAAGCTGATACTATTTAAAACTTTAAAAACCTACAACTGATCAATAAAGTTACTTTTATCAGAAATTTTTTTTTTTTAATTTTTAGTTTGGCTGGTTTGATTTGTTGAGTTATGGATGCGGTGATCATTTCAAGATATAAATCATGTGAAAAAGCAGACAGATGCTTTCTTGATCATATTAAGGTAAGATAAGGTAATTTTATTTATATAGCATATTTTCAGCAACAAGGCAATTCAAAGTGCTTTACATGAGTTAAGTGGGAATATTAGTTTCAGCTGTCCTGCCTAAGGTCACAAAAAGGTAGAAGCTTACGGCAAGAAGACACACGATCATTGAGGAAAAATAAATTTTCTTTTCAGTTTAGATTACGTAGATGATGGGATGAGAAGATTATAAAGAGTGGGGAAGCTTAAATAAGTCAAAGTGTGGCTACCTTTAATTAGAATTATTTAATATCCATTCAAAGTAAACAGTGTCCTGTCATGTTCATTGTTATATATGACTCTCTTTCTTATGCTGTTAATGATTATTTGTAGATTTCTTGAATTATGCTATAAATCTTCATATACAAACCAACTGACATTTATGCCACCGCCGCAGTTTGGTCTAATTTATACAAAGTGTTGCATCTTCATATCACTATAATTGTGCTGTCTCTAGTTCTTCTTTTCAAGCCTCATTTCAATCGTAGCATCTTTGCAGTAATCATTGGTCAAATCAAGATTGCTTAAAATTAAAGTAGATTATTGTTTCATCTGCCTCCAGAAGCTAAAATGAAACAATCACATTATGAAAGAAACATGAATAAAGTCCAAAATGATGATAAAGAACCGCGAGAAGCAGTAATTCTTTCATTTAGAAAATGAAAATCAGTGAACCAGCAATTTAATTTATCTATTGTTTCCATTTCAGCACAATTTTTGCCCATTTGTGGCATATTTTTAAATACACATGTATTCATCTCACACCAGCTCTATCTGCATGGAGCAGAGATGGATTGAGTCATGCATGGCTGTGTGAGCCATTCTGAGTAAATGTAATAAATGTACATGACTTTAATGCTGAATCGCAGTAGTGTCTTAATATGTAGCACTGCTTCTTTATACAACAGAATTTTATTCTGCATATTCCTTAAATAAGTTTATGGTGACTTCTTGTGGATACATAACTTAAAGTTTAAGCCAAATGTTTACATACGCCAGTATAAAAGAAGCCATAGCCTTTCTTCCTCACTATGACTTAAAATCAGACTCCACTTTACATTTTGTATGGCAGTGATAACAATTATTTCTAATTGCTAAATTTCAAATGCAAGATAAATTAGTAGAGAATTTTTTATACTTAAAAGTAAGTAAAAAAAATATACATATATACTTACATTTGGTGGTATTGCCTTTTAAATTGCAAGACATGGGTCAAACGTGTCTTCTGCATTCTTTCACAAGTTTCTCACAACAGCTTGCTGGACCTCTTGCTCATTCCTATGGACAGAACTGTACTTTAGTCTCAGAAAGTAAAAAAAAAAATAAAAAACACAGTCAAAAACCTTCAGCTGATCTGAAATGGTGCAACAAAAGTTCTGAAACTTTCCTCTTTTAGATTCCTCACAGAATAATCAATGCGTCTAAAAATGTGAATGCTGAACTATTTGGTGAGTTCAAACTGAAGTTGTGTGTCTGAAAACTACCTTGTATTTTTACCCTCAGGTTAAACAGTGTGCATCATTTCATTCTTTGAGAACTCTTTGTGAAAACATGCAAGAAATAAATAGGGACCCCATGCTTTTTGAAAATATAGATTAAACTTCTGTGCTTTTTTTTGTCATTCACATTTTATGTCAATTATATTACAAAGAACTGCAGATATTTTAAATACACTTGTAGAACATTTTCTCAACTGTTGTTATGTAACTTTGCCTCCCCTACTTAAACCCCACCTGCATATCTCCTTTCCAAATATTTAAAGCATTCTTAACTCATATTGCCAAAATGAAAACCTGCCTCTGTCAATCCATGCTGTTTTCTTTTGAAGCCTTGTGTATTTGCACTCATTCTTATACGCTGTCTACCTTTACAACACACAACTTTAAATACGGTGCAACATTATAGAGTATTTAAGTGGGACAGTCTATAAGTGTAAAACCTGACCACCAGCTAAAACATTTCTTTTTCTGGAAAAAAATGAATGCATTTAGAGCTTTAATTCATAATTGTAACGGTAACGAATATATATATATTTATTTTGCTATAGAAAATTTGATTTGAGACAAATAAATCCCCTATCATTCATTAGCCATAATTACATTACACTTTTATTTATACTTATTGGTATTTTAAATAACTGTTTGTAAAAGTTGACAAAGAGCTCCCACTCACTCTTGTCTTATACTTCTGGATGAGTGAGACATATAAGAGACAAGACTGGGCTCATCCTATAAGTGTCCCTCTCTGTAGGTCTACAAAACACACATGCACACACTTCCAAACACACACACACTCCAATCTCTTGTCTTTCCATCTGGTAAAGTGGGCTGTTGTGATTGATTTGTGGATTTGCTCCCTCTTTTTTTCTCTCCATTTAAGTGAAATAATGTATGGAAGCAATCTGGCGACAGACATTTTGGAAAATCTATTTGAAATCATTTCACTTGAAGCCACGGCAGTTTGTCTTCTTAGGGGAGAGGACCAAAGTATAATTGTCTGCAGTCTAGTAAAACACAGTATAACTGCCATCACACTTGACTGAGCTTATAGCCGGCTAGTCCCGTGGCCTCTAGAAGATAGAGCAGTTAATGTTCCCTTTTATTTTAGAGGATATGTCACTTGTATCGCAGATTTATACCATGATACAGCAATTTTGTCCAAACAGATGGATAATGGTGTCACCAGCGGAAAAAAAAAAGCTCTGCTTTATTGGGTTTAGAGCATATTGTTTAGATAGGGGGCTGTGCAGAACAGATCCTACAGCATTTTCTCTCTTTATCTCTCTAATCTTACCCGTATTAGATTTGATCATTTTAGTTTGAAGGAGGAAAATGTGGCTGTAATGGCTTCCTAATAGCAAACACAAGGGATACAAATCCAGGGACCTTGTTCTCTAGTGCTTCCATAAGCACCACTGATTTATAGAGGTCTTTATGACAGAAAAGAAAATGATCTGCTGCAGGTATAAATCAGGTGAGGAGTAGGAAATTGAACTTAGATATCATCTTGTCAGATGCTTAATGCTCTTCCTCCTGTCACATTCGATAGGACCAATTTGGAGAATCCTGCAGAGGTAAAAAGAAGACAATTAACAATGACAGTGTGGTAATAGATGAAGCTATAAAATGAACCCTGCTGCCTGCAGGATGCTTTGTATGATTTCCACATGAGGTGGTGGAAGCAGTTTGCCGTTTTAGCCTTCTGCTTCTTCCCCTCTCTTTGCAGTTTTTAGTGTCCTTTTGAGTGTCATTTCTCAAATACAGGCAACATGAAGCAAGTGGAGATAAATTTATAGTTTATTGTGCTTTATAATTGAGTTATTATTCATCACATAATAGAGCTTAGGAATTTAGATGTACTTTTATGTTATTGAATGCCAGTGCATATCACCCCCTGAAGGTTTATTACTAAGTTTATCAGTGGGGTGAGTGTAAAGTAATTATCTTGCAAACAACCAAAATAAAACCCACTTATTGTGTTGAATTTTGACATAAATATACCAATAGTAGCACCTACTAGAGGATGAGCTTTGGAAGGTGTTAAATATTTGAAAATATTTAACAATATAGATATAGATACTTCAGTCAACCCTATTAGTTTCTAAGTGCAACATTTAATAATGACTTCATTTTGGCATTAGGGACTGTGCTGGACTCAGACTTAAATAAACTAATTTAAATAAGATACACAACAAAAAACTAGTTTTCAAGTGTGCTAAATGTTAGAGTTTAAACTTACTTAAGTTTAAAACTGTCATTATTTTTATATGTATTTATTTTTATTCTTTTGCCTAGACAAGAGTGTTTCGGCCATTGTCTTTTTTTACTTCCTCCTCTCCCTTTTCTCTGACAATAAGAAGTTTATTAACATCTGTAACTTTTGTAACAAATTACTGATGTGCAGCATCTACTGGGCTTTAGAATAGTTTTTAAAAGATAAGCAGCTTTAGCTAGCTTTGCGACCGCAGTAATGCTAACGACATCCTTGCTAGTAAGCTGAGCTGCTTCTCCCTACGGAGCTGTTGTCAGTGAAAGTATCTGCTCTTACTCAGATGTTCAAACAGTTTTTTTAGCATTTTTTTTTTTTACTTTCAGTTAATTAACAAAATTTTCTGACTAATATTATCTGCTTTGTTTAATACTGTCGGTAAGCCTAGGCTATCACAGGCTAGTTGATTTAGGCTATTTGATTACATTCAGCCTTTGGAGAAGCAAAGTTTTTAAAATCAATAAGAAATTAACCAATTATGTTGAGTTAATACACTTTCGAAAGTGTAGGCTTTAACTTATTAGAATTAGTTTAGCTTTTAAACTTACATAATTTGTCTTCAAATATTTTGAGTCAAATACGACGTTTTATTGGTTGAATTACAGCTGTTTTAAGGTTACAGTTTTAATAGAAACTCTGCTTATTTGCTTTCTTCAAGTTTTCTAAGTGTTTTAGCATTTTGTTTAGTACAGATGTATCCGCTGAGGCGTTACGGTTCTCAAACATGTCATAGCTCAGTGGTATAATGAGTACAGGATAGGACAGAGAATGACAATGCTCTCTGATCCCTGAATGTCACTTTGGTCTAAATGTAACACACAGTTTTATAGATAGGATCATGCATTTGGCCGCAGGCAGTGACATTTGACAGATACAACTGAGGGGGGGAAAAAATGAAACCCATCTATCTGGGTGTTTAGGTTTCCACTGACTTAAATCTTTTTAAAAATCAGATTTCTTAGTAAGTGATGACCTTTAGTGAAAAGCTCTGTCAAGTGGCAATTCATGCCCAGGCACCCAAAGAGCTTTAGAGTAATAACCAGAGAACCACAGCTTGGGAACCATCAGCCCTCGCAGCTCATCAAGCCAAGCGCTTGTATAATCTAATTTGATTTTAATGCTTCTCCGAAGGAGATTGTGCTCTTATTACTGTGTAATGATGCTGTTGTCAAGATCCAGTGGCGATGTCTAATATCACACCCATGTTAACTACTTCTGTGACACTCATCTCAGCATTGTCTCGCTCCAAGATGGCTTCTGCTGTACACTTATGACTTTGTTTTTTTGTTGCATTTGGCTTCATGACTGACAGAAACAAAAGCTTTTTTGCACAGCTCCCTTCCTTATTACCTCTGCCTGATGTGGTACTTTTTTCGTATTCAGTACAGTAGATAGAGCATAACGATGAAGGTCTTATCTGAGATGAGGAGAATTTCAAGTTGCTCTCACTCGGGGGCAGCAAATGGAAAAGTGACAAGCCTGGTGCACTTGTCTATTTTACTTATTCTGGCGCCTCTGTTTCATATTCCGCCTCGCACCGCAGGGTTATTTTCCTCCGGGGTTCAGGAGGCCACGCTCCTTCATTTCTTCAGAAAATTGTTTCGCAGGATTTCAATCTTTGGTGGCTAGATATGACAAAACACAGTATCAAGAACACTTATGTATCTTATCTGCCATTTTTTCTAGGTATAAATAAAAGATCAGTATAAATTTAAGTCAAGTGGCCTCCAATACACATGTGAGAGATGAGCATGTGAAGAACTATGAACCTTGGGACAGCCTCACTGTACATTTTTATTGCCTGCTCAAAATTACCTTGGAACAGGTTCACTCCCCCCCCCATCATTTGTGATCCTTGGGGGGAAAAATGAGTCTTTACGTGAGAACACTAAATGTCATCTTTAAACGTAAATAAAAAGCTACAATTCAAGTATCTATTGATTAACTAATGAAATTTTGATGCTAGAAAATCATTTGCCCAGTCAGAGGTGCATCTCAAAAAATGAGTAAAGCAGAGAAGCATTTCCAGAATTTATTTGTGTTCATTTTGATAATTATGGCTTCCTGCTATAAAGCTGAGAAAAATTGAGCATAGCAGAGGACCAACAAAGAAGGATTTAAAAATTATCATATACATTGTACACCTTTTTTTCTTCCACTCAACTTTTCATAAATTTGCTTGTATACAGCATTCTTCTTCAGCAAAGATTTTTGGTGGCTTACCAAAAATAACACCAATGCATCACTCTGTGTGCAATTAATGGATATACTATGAATTTTACTAAAGAAATTGAATTACTGAAATAAAAAAAAACATTGTATTGATATTCTAATTGATTAAGATGGACCTGAAGGGACTTTGCCCCAGATAGATTACCGCAGACAATTTACCGCCAGAGTACCAGAAATATTCATGTTCTGTGATTATTCACCTCTCTTTATAAATTATGAAAAAAAAAAAAAAAAAAAAAGAAATCAGCAACAAATACTTGGACAAAAAAAATGCATGGTGATAAAACTTCAAAGAAAGCTTCATGGCTTTAAAATCCAATGTCTTTCTTTAAACGCAAGAAGAAAAAAGTACAGCAATCGTTTGTGATATACACCACATGATGATGCACATACAAGCAGACTATGTATACTGAACAGCGTCCCAGCAGTGTGACACAATCTAAACATTGTCCTATTGATGTTCCATTTTTTTCCCCCCTTTCTGTTCGGCTCTTGTCAGAGGTCAACCTCAGACAGCATGCGGTGGAATCAGGCGTTACTGTTGGGTGTCACATTGATGCATTACAAGGCCCAGGAGGTCACGTCTCAGTAAACATACATTATCAAAACCCATAGAAGATGTGGGATGTTGACCCCCACAAACACTTTACACGGCGTAGTCAGGAGGAGAGAAAAAATAGGTCACATGACGGCAGAGAGCAACTTTGTTTGGAGCAATGACTTTTCTCGTCACAAATCAAGAGGGTCAAGCAATCAAGACTGGTCAGGCTCCGTGTCAAGCAGCATTACCTCACACTGTCTGAAATGATCAATGAGCGAAAATAAAATAATCACAAGTTAAAATTGGCCTGGTAATGAAAACAGGCTGTTTAAATATGGGGCTAAGAGAGCAGCTGGATAAATAGAAGACTGGACGGCACATTGAAAAGATACTTTAAACTAGTTTGTGTCATTTGGATTGTTAAGGGTGCGCAATAAATTATTCTTTCAACCCAAATTCTAGCATTATGTTGCTAGAGCAGAGGCTTTAAAGGTTTAACCCAAAAAATGGTGAAATGTTGTGATTCAGCTTGCTAAATAAGAGGCTAAATGAGCCTCATCATTCTTGACAAGCAGACATTTATTTTCAACTATTGTGCAGACTTTATGGAACCTCTTCAAAAGGGTGGAAGTCTGAAATGTTAAAATGGCACATTTATGTTGTACAATATTAAAAGTGAGTTGTGCTGATGACTTTACTTCACACTAGTGAACAGGTTTGTTCACATTCAGTGACATTACCCCTGTGGGTAGTTAGCACATGCTAGTTCTAGCTACATTCAGCATTCACTATTGAACAAAGAAATGAGTCAATAAAGACAACAAATTAGTGTTACAAAGACTATGAACTTAGTTCATAGTCTCATATGAACAAAGTTCATATTCATACTCACTCAACCGTGAATAAAAGTATTTATAAAAACCCGCCCGATTTGGGATTTCTGCCCATGAGGACAGCGAAATCGTCTTGCAAAAATACATTTGGTCCTTTGACTTAAAAGAGGACCTTTGTGTGTTCACTTTCAGTGCGCACAAACCCCCGCAATCTGGCTGCAGGACATTATTAAATC